AATTTTCATTATCTTTTTGAACAACGTCATCAGTGTCTTCTTCATGTAAAAGTAAACATTTCAGTTAATGAAAAACAGTTGAATCACTTTGTTCTAGTGTCCTTAGTTGAGATTTTGTTACTGTATGCTTACTGTTTCATCATTACATTTATGTTGATTGTCTTTTTCAGGTTAATTTAACCTTCTGACTGACTGACTGACCTCTTTTATATGGATTCATAGATAAAGTCTATGTCCATGTATCTATTGATTGCTAATTGATCTAAACGCCTTGTTTCTAGGAATTCTGTAAAATACTTACAGTTCTTCTGATCCAGTATTTAGACTTTTTTCAATTGAAAGGTCTCCATACTTACGAGTCATTACCTCCTCTTAGTGAACAGCCACAAGACTGTTCTACCTTCCAACAAATGCAACAATAAATGTAGAGAAAAGGAATATCCACACAAAGTGATATCATCAAGCATCCTTCACAAAAATGGAATGAAATGATTACAGTAAATGTCATCCAGTCATACGCACCTAGCAATGATAGCAGTAAAGATAATGAAGGTCACTTTTGTGAGTTGCTGAAGTAAATCCTAGAGAAAAATGACCTGATCATTTTGATGGGTGACTTAAACACAAACATTGAGATGGACAACACTGAGTACGAATTCATGGACTTGAATAAAGTAGCGAGGACGTTGAGAAACTGGCAAATCTATGTGCTTTAAACACGTTGACAGGTAGGAAGATTTTCACAAACAAACGCATACAAAAAGCTGCATGGGTTTCACTAGACCACAGTGTAAAAAATCAGATTAAACACAACCGCATAAGTGAGAAATTTAGAAGGTTCGTTGAAGACGTAACAACGAAAAGGAGAATTGATTCAGCTTTAGATTATCAACAACTGGTGATGGTCAAGCTAAAACTAAAATTAATGAGGAATTGGATAGTAGGACAAGCAGAAATACTAGAGTTCAATACAGATTTCGTCCGAGATGCTGTCAAGCTCTACGAATTTTAGATAGCCCCCAGAAACAAGTCCTAAATCTTAGATCTACTAAAAAAGCAAGGAAAAGATTTAAGGGAAAATAACTTCGACATGCCACGACGTACTGATTCCTAAGAAGCACCAGCATAAATAATGGACCTCTATAGAAAAATTATTACAAGTATTCAAAATACTATATTACTTTTTTAGATGATTGGAGATAGTAAACAAGAAACGTTGAATCATCGTTTCTCATTATACTCTTCAGAAAAGTGCATCTGTAATCTGTTAGAAATTCTTGTTCCCTGGTGTATTCGACCATGTGTTGCTCAGTTCCATAGTCTGAGAAGTCGATCTCGAGTTATTCACCAACTACTGACCTGTATGACAGATATTTGCAAATCAATATCTTGTTTCTCTAGTCCATTTTAGTGTTCACTGAATTACATCCGATTGATTTGTGTTGAAATTATGAAGACAATTAGAACTTTATACGTGATTAAATCTCATTGTTCATAAAGTCCCACTTGTGTTTTCAACTGGCATAAATACAATGAGTACTTTTGGAAATAATCCACTCGTCAGAAATATACTATTTGTATCGTCTATTTTTTGATTTCTTACTTGTATGTTTGTCATGTCTGATATTATTAGGCTTTACATGAGCCTTAAATCTTGTTTTTAATTACTCAGCAGTGTATTATACTGGCTAGTTTACTAACAGCTTTTCTGTAATAAAAGCCTAACACACGGAGCATAGCAACGATTAAACCTTGTGTTATTTCACTTCTTTCACGATTTATTTAAACACGTGTATAAGTTACTCCTTGATAATTACGTTTTGAACGAATGATGTATATATTTGAAAATTTTTAACACGATTAAACTGTTTCCGAACCTTTTCTACATGGCTATGGTGAACCGATTGAAATAGTGTTCGGTTAAATGACAATATCCCACTCGCAAATAAGGACAATAAGACTATCTAATTCTTTTTGATATTACAGCTAACATCAAAAGTAGTGATACTGTAGTGAACAGAACACTGGTTGGGGACAATCGAATGTATTTAAGCAAACATTACAGACTATCTCAGTAAATTCTGAAAACCACGCAATGGACAGTCAATTAGCAAATTAACAACCAATAGTCTCAATCTTCACTGTTTCTTCTCTTATTCCATTGCTCATGCATTTTCCAAACGATTGCGCTTCATTTCAGTTCTTTCCTCATCGGTCTTCTGCCAAAACACATTCTATGCCCGACCCACACCATATACTACTTATATAGGTATAAGTAGACAACACCACAATACATCATACAGTTGAGAATAGATTGTATCAATATAACATCGCACCAACAATCAGGTGATAGATACACATGACTTACATATCCCATGGTAAGGCAAACTTGATCAACTAGAAACATCAACAAATTTCCTCATAAATACCCTAATCTCAGATACTACTATATATATTCTCGGCCCAACACCAGGCTTTCGATGATCATATTGCACTTACCAGGTATTCCAATGTTTATCACCTGTGATTACCTTTCGTTTGCAAACTATCAATATTTTTGGATGTACTTCGTAGTATTTCTTAGACAATTTCTTCAGGCTTTAATCTGATATTCCTACTGACGAGTAAATGTCACTTATCAAAATATGATTTTTAACTATCACTGTAATATTCTAACTTAATATTCACTTTCCGTAGTATATTTGATTATTTCGCGTGATATAAGCATTCCCACTCCTAATTATCTAAAATCCATGGGCTTTCATAGCTAAGTAATAAGAAGGATGTGGATTGTATCATACGGTATCTTGATACCTGATCAATACTTTCATTATTAGCGAGTTCTCGGATAGCTCGGACACATATGGGACTATGTTTACATGAGTTAATACACTAGTTTTTAAGACTACAAAGAATCCAAACATCATGAATAGAATCAAGTGATTCATAATAAGATCAAGTTACAAAGAAAAATATACATCATCAGAATTCAAGAATGTGAATCTTACGAAGTACAAGAAGAGAATAATAAATTAAAATTTAATGGTATATTACAGTGAAAACCATTAACTCCTTGTCTTAATGTTTCTTCTGATTAACAAATTCTCATATTTTCAATATCTCAATCGACAGTATGTCATGAGGGAGAAAAGTAGATACGAATGCTTATTTCACAACCATGGTCAATAAATCATTTTACTCGGAAATTTTATGAAATTATACGAACTTATCTACGTATTTAAAGGGTACAATCATACTAACTCGTAGATAGACTTACGAAGACAGTTTATTCGAAATATTTAAATCATAACTAGGAAATTATGTTCTTAATTAATTTAATAAATGTACAACCGATCTGCAAAATATATTGTCTCCTAAAAATGAAACCCAGGGATAAAAGACAGAAAAAACTGCAGAGAAAGCGGAATAAAGCTGTCAGACTTTGACTTATCCTTCCCTTTAAATTAATCATTAGGCACAACGAAAAGATGTGAAGAAAAATGTACACGAGAAAGAACTGAAACTCTTTGAAATAGGTGGTTACCTTTTTTCTTGTTCGGATTATCTATAATCCAGTAAACTACCTTTACTATCAATCAAATAGGTGGAATTATATGCAAATATAGATGTATAATGTAAGTAATAATATGATAAATTAGAAATATCTGGTTCACAAAAACACGGGATTATTAATTAAGTGTAGATTAGAATCGAAAGATGACTATGCGCATACTTAAAAAATAACAAACCATTGAGGTGGAAAAAATGAGATTCGGAAGAATACTCATTTGTTAGATCTTGTTAATAATGAAAAACCAGTCGTAAAAAAGGCAAAGGGAATGTGAATGAAGGACAGTAAGATTATGATGGCTCAATTGACTTGATTAACTCACGAGACTTAGTTTGAGTAAATTTGAAGTCAGGGGAGGGCGAAACGAAAAATGGTATTAGTTCACGGAACCATAGACAACTGGACTGAACCATGTCAGCCAGTGCAGACTATGCAGTTGGGGTCTGAGTGTTAATCGCAAACCGCAATTAGACTTTGTTTGTAAAGGCGCAAGTCCAGCCACCCTTTGTCTTTGGCTCAAGTTTCATTTCCCGTGCTAATTTGATATAGCACTTGCACCGATATACACACGTATCAGATCAAGATGCAATCAATGATAATTTAACTCCCCTCAAGTGTAACAATGTCCAGTTTTGGGAAAATGACATCATAATTACCTGAGTTACTGCGATGAATGCTAGGACGTGTTGATAATCACCATCTGCAAGTATCCTATCAAAATTTCCTACAACACAACACAATTCAAATTAACCTTAAAATATAAGGAATTTTACTGATAGCAATGTTTAGTAAATTTGAGTCCAGACTTCCATATACTTTTGAGTTGTTAAATTCTAAAATCAAACCGATCCACTGAATACTAACTCGCAATATAAGTAAAAACCGCTACATAAGTAGAACAGGCCAATTGTTGTAGGGATTAAATATACAGATTCGCAATTCACAAATGTACGACCTTTAAGCAACCCCACATCATTTCGTGGAGTATCATTCTTGTGAACAAGTTTAATGATTATTTATTGAATGAACTGATTTGACTAGCTTTTAGTCATTGAACTAAGAATTTGAGACTCACACTATCCTTTACAGTTCGGATGAGTGATATCATTAAACCGTCTAAATACGTTTGAATAAAATCCAAACATTTTCACTCAGGAATTTATGCTACTTAAAATAAGCCAGTAGTGTCACTTAAGTAAAATACCTACTAGCGGTCTGAACACATCAAGCCAAGACGAATTATAATCTCATTGAATGTATCAGAAACTATGCTCGTTATACCATGTATTGTTTCAGAATTTATTGAAATGCGCATGATTAACAAATAGATTGCTTAAATAGATGTAGATGTAACCTAGATGCAGAACCCTTACAGTTGACATCACCCCTATAAACTAGTTATGGTCGAGAAAATAAGAAGAAACGAAGTGATACAATGATAAGTATATTTTTTTAATTAGGACAATAATTTAGACTCGATTTGAAACGACCACTGTACATCTGAAAAGGAAGAAAAAACAGAGTTAGATAGTCGAGACGATAAAAGACATAATCAGACACATTTAGGTTGAGTATATTCATTAAGAAGACTAGTAATATATTTTATTTTTAAAAAAATTGTTTACATGGTATGTAAAAATCAGCATATTGATATTTATATATACAAAGGTATGGGGCATCAATCAGTCTATTATATACAAGTGGTATGATGAGGAACCAGAAACGTTTTAGATAAAAACTATTTACAGCGAAATCAAACAAGTACATTCAAGACTTTCCACGTCGATTCTCAGTATCTGTTTACAACATATGGAACAGCTGATATATACAGAAATATGAACACCAGCTTTACAATGCCATATTAAACAATTTTTTGTCTTAATAATATACAGAAACTATACACACTTTATAGGAACAGGAGGGATTGAAAATGTACAGTGAATGAAGTTATCTAGGAAAATATCTACATAATTATCAAGGGAGAAGTTAGCAACATTAATCAAATCGGATATACACTCATCCAATAGTTAACTGATGGTCATTCTATATCAAAGAGCTGTCAGTACATGCAACCAAAACGTAATCAATAACAAGTGATGTATACAAAACAGTACAGCGAAAAGGAATAACAAGATTACAATGTACAAAATGATAATTACAAATACAACCAAAACTAAGCACCAATGGTAACCGGATCACTGAGTAAGTGGACAAGCTAAAAAGATTGAATAAACATATATTATAGGATTTCACTTGCCTGTTACACTCCTGAGCTCCAATTATACCAATACAACGAAAACAGTGAACATAAAAGCTAGCAGCAATGAAGTGAGTCAATGATTATTGAAATATGACCAAACTGTACAACCAGATGATTTGGGAGAACAAATGATGTATTGAAAAACTAATTAGAAAACAGAAGTACTGCTACACTGGTCACCAAGTTGGCAATTGAGAGGAGTACATAACTAAGATTAATGTCTGTATCGACTGTCTCGATACCGATCTGCACTACCCCCAAGACTTCCAGCACACGTTTGACCGGAACCATCCACTGATTGGATTCCAGACAAACCAGACCCACTAGGAAGAGGAAGATTGGATCCAATCCCATAGTAAGTATTGCCACTTCCAGATCCTCTTTCACGAGAATGTCTGCGGCGATCGTGACGTTCATGTCGATCGTGCCGGTCACGAGATCGAGACCTATGATTTCTGTCTCTGTGACGACGAGAATTGTTATTACCACTACCACTGATAGAACTATTGTAATTCCCTTCTCCACCGTCACTGCCACTATCGCTATACGAACGACGACGTCTTCGACTACTGCTCCTGTCAAGAAAAAAATCGAGGAAATATAGTCATAATTATGTCAGAATGAAAATTTAGTTACTTTAATCTGCTTGAATGGTTAAACATCAAAACACAATTACATCTCAATGTATTAAAACGGACACGCAAATAAAATCATGGCATTATCTGTCAATATTCAGAAAATTGAAAACACAGAAAGAGACAAAAAAAGTTGAGTGAGATTATTCCCTTGATGAATTTAAGCGTCATCGGATGAAGAGCCAGAATACCGGGATAGAATTCACCTAGGAATTAGTCTAACAACCATGGAAAAATATCAGAATAATCAAAGATCAGAAATGAGGGGAAAGTTGATAATACGTCAGAAAATACACGATAAGCCCAATGTCACCGAGGTGATTCGATCTAAGTCACACCATCCAAAAACTCCACAATTATATAATGGTTAAAAAAGAACATGACTCATGGGATCTCATGACAATTCATGATGACTTAATATAATAAAGGTTTGATTTTTATTTTATTGATACAACAGATAAAAAAGTACGTAGGTGTTTACATAGTATTTGTTGGATTAGTTCTCTAGTGGATAGAAAATGAGAGGTACATGAATATGCAGAACCCGAGTTTTACGAAAGAATGCTATTGGATTAGGACATTGATTAACAGTTAGTAACATGAACCGATCAATAATTGTAGACATCAAATGGCATGGTCTAAAATTAGGACGAATGCCTTTATTTATTATTTTATTTAAACACATAAATATTGGTACAAGAAAGCACCAAATACATATGTGCCGCACAAATTTCGTTCGATTTGTGTGAGGGCCGTGATACTGTCCAGGTTCCCAGACTGAAGCAGGTGGTTTTCTTAGGGGGCCACACCTCGAGCCTTTGACCTGAAGGTCCAGTTCAGATAGCAGTGGAGCATCGTAAGGAGATGCAGTCCCATGGTAGCCGGTGACCAACGATTGATTCATACGCCATATGTTCCATCAGGATACTGGAGCCCATGTGCACCATTGGTTTGGAATCAGGGTTTCCCAACTCCCCTAGGTGGACCCTCCGTGTCCACCAACCCGGTTAAAGCGCCGGACATTCGCTTTTCGTACTCTCAATTTCGTAAACAACAGTAATGCCACGAGAATGCAGTGAGTAGGCAGATGCTATATATTCGCTGACCATATGAGAGCATTTCGAGAGGGAGAGCGGACTCACCCCACTCTCGGCCGTACCAAGGAATTTGGGGGCTATTCAATTTTAGCACTTCCACTTGGTGAACAAATAATAATAGTTATCTGTAGTAACGAAATTCCAACAACTGGTTATTGCTAAGAAACCATTTTAAGCACGAAGAATAGAATAATTTGGTCTGAAAGCCTGAATATGGTGCATATAAGACATTTGCGTAATTATCGAACAGACAGCACACGAGACATATGGCTCTATATAAATTTGGAGCTACGAAACGGGGATGTAGGTCAAGAGTGCTAGTAGCGGCCAAACTAAAAAGTGATATTAGACTATAAAATAATTGACTGTGGGTTTGAACTATGTTGATAAATTCAGATTACATGATTAGGGTTCGCGTGATTCTCATGACCAATAGTTGGAAACGTCCGATTCCAATAGAGTAAATGCATTTACTGTTTGACTTCCCTATGACTAAGTTTCATAATCATCTCATGCATTTAATTCTGAAGATCCATTCTTTCTGCATAATTTTTATTCGCAATGCCTAATATTATTACTACCTATAATATAATAATAATACCTCTAACAATTTAATTCATATTCGTAATTTTATCGCATTGTGTTGTGGTGCGAAAATCGAACAGACGTACATGTACCAGGTCCCATATTTTTTATCACTATCTGATAGCTGTAACGATTTTTGAAGATTGAAGGTATGCTTAAGTTGCTGAAATCTAACGACATAAATCCTTAAAACATTTCTCAGCCACTACAAAACCCTTGGAGTAAATAATTCCGAAATTTGCCGTAAGCCATTAAAGTTATTGTAAATCAGTTAATAAGGTTTTGAAATTCTATCAGCTGAAGTGGTTGAGATATACGACGCATCGGAATGACTGTTCGCTCTAACAATCTACTACAACAACGAATCAATTCGGCGATTGAGTCAAAAACACAATAAACTTAGTAACAATCGATTTACAACTGAAAAAATGGAGACAGACGTTTGGCAGCTCGCGGGTTCACTCCCAAAAAACGCTGCAATGGACATGTTTGCACTAAACACGTCTGTGACTTAATTATAAACCTTGAAAGTCAAAATGCTAAAAGCTTCACTTCATTATTAACACTCACAACACGTATTGGTTAACAACAGAATTGGCTTGATGACAATCAGAACAGAAACTATTAAATCTATTAAGAAATGTAAACATTGGAAGACAGCAAATCTCCTCATAGATATGCAATACACTTATCTCAATAAATTACATTCAGTAAATTCTCACGAAAGCTTGAAATTAAAAAAAAATTGGATTTAGAATAGTATACGCATAAGACAAATGGAACATATATTGTACATTTTTTATCAGACCACAAAAATCTAGAGGTAAAATTTTTAAAAAAATCTGCTTTTTCAATAGATCTTAGTTAAGATGTTAAAAATCAATGAATCAACAACAAGCAAACCCGTCTTACTTAGCGCCATAAGACTTCGACTCAATACCATGTAAAGTATCTTGAAGAGAGTTGATCAGAATCCGGCATCGGTCATCATTAGCTATTTTTGACTGTTTGATAAGAGATATTGCAGTTACTAATGTTTCAATAGCACTTGCATAATCACCACCAGCAGCATCCTGTACGGCTCTGTTAATAGCACTTGAGGAGACTGTCTTGTTCCTCTGCAAAATATCTTCGAACTCCGATTCAGAGAGCTTTCCTGGAACAGCTGCAAGGAAATAACATTAAATCACCATATATTTAACGGTCAACATATAATGACTAAGTGCAGCTTGTTATAACACTTTGGGTGCCAGGAACCTAAGTGATACATCAAGATGAAAGCCAACAGCAGGAAATGAAGTGCCCCGACTAGTCAAAAAAGGATTAGGGCCTAGAATAAGCTAAAAGATAGCATCTATTTTACAATTAACAGTAATCTTTAAGCACAAATTAAAACATCCGAGCAGTGTTACATACTTTCAAGACGTTACATATTCACACTAAGGTCTAAAACTAATCTAGTTACTTTGGACTCGCAGTCCCTAAGCTCTATCTGGGCAACAGGCGATTATGTAAGTTAATACTTCAGAATGACTCCTCATTAAAAGGATTTCTCTCCTTTCATACAAATTGAAATAACAGGCGAACAAGAATAATCAGGAGGGATCGAGTGAAGCTCAAATGATTTAATTAATAAATCTATGAATTCTAACAATAATCCTGAACCGGTGACTGGCGGTTAATAGAACCCTTTCCAAAATCCCATGACTAAACCTAACTGCATTCTAGCGTTACAGGTCGCCGCTGTCTTTTCCTTTGTTTTAATCCTTCACCAATCCTGACTTACTGCTGGTCTATATTCAAGTTTTTCCTTCTAAATAGTGTTCAAGCATACCGGGACATGTTTTCAAGCCCCCGAATCAACTTGTCTTTTCTGACATTTCATCACTAATGTTTTTCAGAAGACTGAAGGTTTTCCAAGTTACCACAGGATGAACAACTCCTTGGTGATCGATTAAGTGCTTAGCTTGTTTTGCCTTAAATACTTTTCTATTTCATCTCTGAAATGGACTTCATGGAGAGGTGGTTGTATGCTATTACTATCGAGGTGTTTGCATAGTCTTTTGGATGTTAATAAACCTGAACGAAAGCTGGCCTGTTATTCATTAGTTAATCTCCCGAAATTTGCAATGGGTAACGGATGCCAATAGTTCGGAAGCGATAAAAAATGGACTTATATCCCGATAATTGATATATACATTTTTTTTAATAATAAAAACAACGGTCATTTCATTTCAGAAAGATGGAACACCCCACTCCACATTTTTTTTAAACGACCTAGTCAGTCCTTTGACCAGAAGTTGGACACCTTTGAGAAATACTGAAAGTAACCTGTATCCTATTTATATATCAGATGAATTTCGACAGCTAAAAGATACAGATACTGCTATGAAGTCGAAAAATAAGAATTTACTTAGTAAATGAGATACACCAGCTAGTGGTCGTTAAACGAATACTCAACATTAAGGTCCGTATACATAAATGTTAGCAAAGTTAAGCACTAGAGTGATGCTGTGAATTGACTTATATAGCTGTTACTGTCTAGTCACTTTTTATCCATGATATTTTCCTATTAATCAGCCTTAACCTTATCAAAAAGTTTGTCCAGTGAAACCTACTTTACAAAATCCCGCATATGGTCACATGTTCGTCAAATGCCATGGTACGGCCGAGAGTATGAAGAGTCCGTTCTCCCTCTCGAAATACTTTCAGATGGCCACGCGTATATAGCCTCCGCCAGAGAAGTCCTACTCACTGCATTCTCGTGGCATTACTGTTGTTTACGAAATTGAGAGTACGAAAAGCGAATGTCCGGCGCTTTAACCGGGTTGGTGGACACGGAGGGTCCACCTAGGGGAGTTAGGAAACCCTGATTCCAAACCAATGGTGCACATGGGCTCCAGTATCCTGAGGGAACATATGGCGTATGAATCAATCGTTGGTCACCGGCTACCATGGGACTGCATCTCCTTACGATGCTCCACTGCTATCTGAACTGGACCTTCAGGTCAAAGGCTCGAGGTGTGGCCCCCTAAGAAAACCACCTGCTTCAGTCTGGGAACCTGGACAGTATCACGGCCCTCACACAAATCGAACGAAATTTGTGCGGCACATATGTATTTGGTGCTTTCTTGTACCAATATTTATGTGTTTAAATAAATAAACAGAGAAACAAGACCAAAATTGAGACTTTCAACACAAATGTCAAAAGTGCTACTGTAAGGAGATGAAAACTGAAGAACTACTACTACAATCACCAAAAAGTACAAGTATTTGTGAACAGCTGTTTAAGCAACATACTGCAGAACCCTTAGCATGAGACCATCACTAATAACCTACTGTGATAGAGAACAAACCAGCTTACAGTTGAGGAGGAAGTTAGGTAAAGACGCAGGAATTGAATGGGAAATAATTTGCGCGAACCAATAAAACTGTGTCCCGAAACAAGCAGCACATCAAGATCCTCAAGCCAGAAGGGAAAAAACAGACCAAAGAACATATGGTGCCGGGAATTGAAGGCAGTTATCATAGACATGAACATTACTAAGCAAAAATTAGGAAGGATAGTTCATAACAGAGTTGTTTGGATTTTCCTGCTAGGCCGCCTATCTCGAAAGGTAACAGGCTTAAGTTAGTGACATTGGGTGTTTTTAATGATGTTCAACTAAAACACTGATATCTAGTGATACTGCTTGTTTGTACAAACCGAAGTCGATGGGGCGAAGAAAAAGAGCTCTGGAAACGATCATACATTTGACATATTGCTGGAATCTGGTTTTTACACCTACTAATTACTACTTATTCTGGCTTTCTTAAAATTAGATGGCCATTAAACCCTATAATGTCTGAGATATAAAGAAACCACAACTAAGACTCACATAAATTAGGATTTCATTTGACTGACTTTGATTTTACATACATACTAACCGCCTGGAGAGCTGATCTAAACTGAATTACATAAACCTGCTGATGTTTTACTAAATCTTATGTCCTTAGTGCATAGCATTTTTAATCCTCAACACTAATTTAATATCTTTTTACAGGTTCCTCAAGAAAAACCCTTCCACGGTGTGGGCAGCCGGGAAGTGATATTAGCCCTCATACCCGTGACTGACTCATGACATGATCCGTCACTGGAGACTAAAAATAACCATTAACTTTAAACAAGTGACTATTGGATTCACAGTGACCTATAGGAACTTTTATTTGGGACAACAGTAAACAACATACACGTTAATACAAGAACATAGTTCCGTTTTAGGAAGCCAGATTTTTGTAGTTAAAACAGCGGTAACTTAAAATCAGCAACATCTTGGTTGCTGAAAATAATTAAACGACATTTGTTTAACTTGATTCCAAGACTGATAAACAGTGGCTTAGCTCCTACTGTTAAGCAGTATAATGTCCAACTGAACTGGGATACAAGACCACTATTTAAACGTATTAGTTTCCAAGATGTTACGGATGGGTCAAAACTAGTCTACATCGTAATAAGTGGACATTTCATTTTACAAACTATTCCGTTCAGGATGTAATTCATGAATTCAGGCATCTATAATTCAGTATGTGAATTCTATACTGGCAGATCAAATACATCACTGTGATCAGGAAGTGGATCAATAATTACGGTATGTGGTTTCCAGACGAGTTGCAGATTCGAACCTCGCCTGCGCAACATGACAGTATCACTAGTCTTTATACTCGAATTATTACTTTCAACCAAGTACAAGAATCTGCTCCTCATAATGAGTAATCTACAATACAATTTACATGATCGGTAGACAGGTATTCTGGAGGAAGTTATATGAAATATCTTCAATTGTTCAACAGTGACTGAAGGATCTGTTCAGGAGTCCAGTAATAATCAAAGCATATGAATACTAACTACAGCTTTACAGATTTTAGCTTTACAACCTGTTTTTTGTAGCTGTGTACAATGTTATCAAGTTACAAAGATCTAACAAAAATCGCGTATGAACACATCTGGTTAGTCAAATTGATACACGCGCAAAACAAGGTGAAATGAAAAATCATACAAAATTTTCCACGTAGTAACATATCAGATTTTGTTAACCGAATGTTTTTATGAGCACCCAATAAAACCAAAACTTAAATTGGTGATGGGACATTTAAGCTGCCCAGTACAGCAAACTAAACTACTAACAAAAACTTACGAGGAGTGTAAGTATGAATGACCGGTCTTCCGTAATGATCAAACTGTGGTCTTATACTAGAGTCATTGTTCTGAGTAGGCAACTGCATCACACCAGGTGGTAAAGAATTTGGTAACATTGGAGGGTTTCCTGGCACTTGTTGTGTTAAAAAATTCGGGTTGACATGAGCATTTGTTGCGAGTGATGTCGCAATTGTGCTAGGGAGAGTGAAGTTTGAGGGTAATAGTCCTGTAGCATTTGCTGCTAAAGTTGCTGTTGATAGGCCACTCGGAGGCATTAGAACGCTGGTAGAACCGGGGAAGTTTAAAGGTAATTGGTTTAGGTTTGAATTTCCGCTTAAGCCAGAGTGTGCATTGTGATTAGCAAGAGCTTGTTGAATACTAGATGATAAATTTGCTGCGTTGCGAACGTTTGGGACGACTTGTCCCATCAAAGGACTGTTATTGCGTACACTGAATCCAAGTGATGCAGGCATAGTAGGTGTAGCCATTAATGGAGGCGGTAAGCGGTTACCCAAAACACCAGTGGTGCCTGCTAAAAAGTGTCAAATAGATACAGGGATGGACAGTTACCTCCAGACACCTTCATTGTCTGCAATTCTTCGGTGCGAGGTCGAGCAGTAGCCTGGTTGTCGCTACCAGCTGCTTTTTCAAAAACGCTAAGATTGTGCTTTGTATAGCTTGTGACAACAGGATTTTGGCCGTGGAGATCGATTTTTGGAAATTTGTCCATAGCCAGGCGCATGGACTGTTCTGACCCGAAAACCATTACACAAAACCTACAAGTAAATGGACGTGTATTCTGACAACTTACCCTTTGGATTGACCATTTTGTCGGTTTTCGTGAAACTTTATTTCAATAACATCGTTAATGCCGACACCTGATGCTGCTTCTAGTAAATCTAAATCTGTTGTCCACTACAATTTTATGTTTTATTCGTTATTTTGAAAAATTCATAACTACCCAAGTTAAATTACCGACATAGACTGATACACGGCGCCCTGGATGAGCTGAAGAGCTGTAGGAGTGCTTAATGGCCTTTACAACATGACAATTATACAACATAGAATAGAAAATTACCATTGATGGAACGCCTGAAGAATTTTCAGACTTAATTGGTGCGATAACATCGTCATATAACTCTGTGAGATCAGTACATTCCTAGAAAGCAATATAGAGAAAACCTAACTAGTACCTGCACGAAATCCTCATCAATATTATCATACAGGTCTATCTCAGTATTATCACCCGCCATCCTAGTGACCGAAAATACGAATCTCCTCACACATAGTGAAATATAAACAAAACATTCAATGGAAAGAAAGCAAGACTATATATTTTGAAGTTACTACTACATTATAGTTAATCATTTTTTCTAAAATCGAATATTTATTTCTGATCATAAGATGATATTCAGTCTACAATATTTCTAATGCTAAGATTGTAGTTTGTAACGGTAAATAAGTTTTCAGTCTTCAGTAATAAAAATAGGAGGTTTGTCGACCTATATATTATTCCTTGCATTTTGTAACACTGTGGAGGTTCAATCTCGTTTTGAATATATCAACAGATGTTGATATTACGTGTTCTGGTATAGTATTCCAGTAACTCACTACTGGGCGCGAGAAACGAAATTCCAAACGCAGACAATTTGATCTCGGTTTTTGAACTTTGTTAGAATATCCTCTCAAATGATCAGTCCTAGACGGAAGGGAAAGATAAGGCATATCAATACCAAGGTCATCTCCCAGTATACGATAAGCCAATATTAGATTACCCCGTAATCTGCCGTAAGATAACGGAAATAAGTTGGGGTGTCTCAGTCTGTCTGTTTAAGATAAGCCAGATAGACCCCTTACCATTTTAATCTCTTGGTGTTGGAGTCGTTTCAGCATATCCCCTCATGCTTGAAACAAGGACTCGCTGCTCGCATCCCAAATCATAAATGCGGTCTTACAAATGTCGGGTATTATAATCAGAACATTTCTTCGTCCAAATACTGAAAAGACCTACAAATAGTCCATAACAGCCCAGACCATTTGGGAGCAGCAGCCTTGCAGTTGCTCGTAACTTTGAGGTCGCTGATTATTATAACTCCCAAGTCTTCATAGTCCATTACATTGAGTAACACAACTCCAAATATTGTGTGATGATATGAATCATCATAGCCAATTAATTGAATCACCACACTGTTGCTGGAACTAACGTTTAGTGAACATCCGCCCATTCGTGCCACCAAAGAGTTGAGATCATCCTGTAGTGCTATTCTATATGACACACTGTGTATGGGTCTCCAAATCTTTATGTTATCCGTGAAGAGTAGAACGGATGACTTTGCATGATTATTTACGCATGTTAACCCACATGGAGCAGAACTGAATGCTCACCAGGATTCCTCATTCAACTCTGTCCTGAGCAATCCCTTCCAGTTGCTATCCAATGCTCGATGCAGCGTGTTCTTTGGTCTTCTCCTTTTCCCTTCAGCATCCCAAGTTGGGGCTTGCCTCGTGATGCTGTTTGACGACTTACACAATTTATGTCCTATCCAATTCCAACGTCCTTCCCTAATTAGTTCTTCAGTTGGATGCTCATTTGTTATCTCCCAGAGCAGGCTGTTTCTGATGGTATCCGGTCAAGGTATATTGAGTATCTTGCGTGGACAATTGTTTATGATAATAATATATTTCTGCAATAGCTGGTACACACCATTTTTACAGGCATGATCTACAATTTACAACATATACCGGTTCACAGTATGCATCCCAAGCAAGCTTGTTTATTAATTATAATCTTCAAAAGTTGATAGCAGTTCATTCGTTCAGATATAATTTGTTTTCATAAGAATAGTTTCCAAAGAGGCATAGCGTCCACGTTATATACCAGATCCAATCTCGACAAAAAGTGTAATAGGGTTTCGGTAGTTCTAAGTATTTATGTAATGCAGCTTTTTAAGTTTATAGTTGTTATAAAGTGGGCTTGTGGAGCGCCTGGTTCGAACTATGACCTTGGGAAAGCGCGTTCGTCGAGCTTGTTCCAGATGTCAGAAGTTACATAGCTTCACCCTCAGAGCAAGATTCTGAAGAGAAAAAATAAAAGAGAAACCGAGGAGCAGCAAGGCATTTGGATATGAGCGATAATCAATGCTTAACATTTATTAGTGGAACAGATAGAGGTATGATAAATTATTAGATTAAATTGATACTAACTTATGTTGCAAGAGTAAACTGCGATTGGGGGCTCCAGAAGAGAGAAGGCAGTAATAAAGAACAATGAGTTGTGATATTTAACAAGGTGGAATAGGTTCCAATGAAGGAGGGAAGTCAAGGTTGGAATGAGGAAGAACAGAGAGTGCATATAGCGAGTAGAGTGTTGAGTAAAATAACAACCATATCCTTTACAGTCAGTTTTTTTCTTTTCTCATCCGATGCCTGCCACACAGTGTTCATGTAAAAGTCCGAGCTAGCATGTTAAAGGTTGTCTTAGTAGAATAGTTAATCCAGCACAAAAATTAGAAACATGAGTCTTAATGGTGAGTGTAGGAGAGCAATCTCAATATCACAGATCTATTGACTTGTTCTCATCCATAAAGAGCCTGATACAAACAAAATGTTCTGCCCCACAAACACGGGTGGTTTGAAAAATCATCGCACTCACCATCAGTGCTTGCTGGTCAGTAACTCCACCCTCCCTCCTTTTGTGATGTTAGGCTCATTTACGTTTATTTTTTGGATACATATCATACCTCACACAATGCTTTTGTATGCTTCTTTTGATGGTTGTAACTTTTTTTCACGTGGTTATACTTTTTATTATTATTAGTGTTTCCTTCTAATTTAACAACATTTATTAGTGAAAAAATACTTTATTTCTGATAGGGCTCTATTAATTGGACACCCCATCCTGTGATTCAACGTAGTACATTAAGCTCACTATTTCACACGCTGTCCACCTTTCCTCTTTCACTAACGTTAATATATTAGCTATTAGTAAATATTGATCTGACTCTACCATAAAACTTTACACAACTAGTAAGTAAAGATACAGCAGTCGCTGCTCACCCAATACAAAATTTATATTTACATTACTTCTAATAATGTCCAGGTCATCTAAAAAGCACATAATCTCTCCTGATGCTTATAGCACGTGCAAAAGATCTAAATCCACCACTCACGCGAATAATGTAAAGCTTTCTAAACACACTGATCAGTCTGCATCATACTCTGATCTTCCTACAGCTACACTAGACGTGCACCATGTACTTGGACATGACCTGTCACTACCTTGCATCTCGCTTGTAGATATAAATAAGAGTAATCACCTACCGCCTACCCCGACATCATTTGACAGCCCACACATTACACGTTGTGAGCGGTATTTAGACAGTGCGGTTGACCCCATACACACAATAAATCCACAATCGGTCATCCTGTGTAATGGCCAACAGAGTGCACATAAGCCCACTTACAGTAGCCAGCCTAATAATGTAGATCTCGACTACTCACCCAAACATATACCTGATGCCCCAACTAAGTACGCACAAGATGACCACCCGGTAGACAGTTGCAACAAATGTTTATGCAACCAAATGAACCATAATAATGTTGATATAAACTCTAATAATCTCACCAGTGATAGTTCTAAAAGCAGTCAAATAAAATCTAGCCTTACCCAAACTATTCAAGACCTATTACCGTATAAATACCTAATCAGTGTTCCGGAAAATCCTGATCTCGAAATTATAAAAAACCCTGAAAAAATAATTGACCACATATCAGCTGAAGTGCTGAAAAGACTTCAGTGTATGCACAATGTCATTGCGTATAATGTACCTGATAGTACGAATCTAAAGCTTGCGAAAAATACTCTACTACAAGAATGTGGACTGTCGCAATCTTGGTATGTAGCAAGAAGATTACGTAAAACACAAACTAAAGCCTCTTGTCCCATTCTATTTCAGTTTGGTAGTATCATAGAAGCCAATCACCTCCTTAAAAGCCAGTCTTTACTGAGGCGCATTCCAACCTTTAAAATAGTTAGAATCACTCATGACAAGACTGCCATCCAACGTCGAAACTCCAATGAAGTGCAAAACAATCAACCCAGCCTACGTGGTAGCGGCAGTTACAACGTTGGCCATAGCGCTATCCCTAAAACACCATACCCCACCCCTCCCAAAAACGGAGGCACGCCGCATACTGCTACTAGTCCTAAGAACAAGACTAAACACCAGGCAGCTGTAACCATTCACCCTAAACCCAAACACTCAACTACAACAAAATGCCCACCCACCTATACATCAACAGTTTCACAGCACTCTTTTTGTGGCTCCGATGAAAAGCCAAAACCCAAGCCTCACATCAATCGCTTTAATAGCTATAACCACCCAAACACTGTAATGCGAAATAATACCAAATTCTCTCTAAACACCCATAAGTACTCCAGATCTCTCAATACACAACATGCACCTACTCATAGTAGTCGAATGCATTACAACAAGCATAATGAACTGGCAGTACCCCCATATCCAAACGTGAGGTTACGCCTGACAAAAACCACACTTACACATGATGCCAATAAGCCATATAGCTTGAAACATGCAGGTTACAGGAATCAGCACAGCCCACACAACAGGAACACCATCCCCGGCAACAATATCAGACAATCATGCAATAATTATTTGAAACATACAACTCCCCTAACTACCCGTAATAGGAGTAGAACACCCCACTGCACACAAGACAACCATAATGTTGGCCTGCTTGAGGACCCACTTATCGATTCTAAATACTACCAGAACCAAACCACCTTTTATAACTCTCTGATCTCCCCTAATTTGGCACACACACCACCTCATCCTTTTTTATCTCTCTCCCCCTCAACAGTATTGATATGGGGTCTCCAAATGTTGAGGGCGACAATTCCACTATTCTGAGACCACCTTCTACATACTCCGACCTGATGGGGAGTGACACATCTTTATCACCGTCGATAACTGTCTCTAGTCTTAAAAGCTCCTTGACGGAACATGATCACCCCCCGAATACACCGCCTATCCATTTAACTCACCCGATTCTACCCAACACTCGTGAACATACTTCTTTCGCCAAACTAACCTCCGACCACCTTTCTCCCGTTAACTATGCTAGTATTAAACTAAACAAACAAGAACGTAGAGCCAATACTCCCACTTTTTCCTCTTCTCATAGTAAAAGCGACAAACCACAGGGTTTACAGCACACCATTTTATTAGACAAACACTCATCCTTCCTGACACTAATGTTAATCAATGCCCGATCTATTCAGAATAAGATGACTCAACTACGCGCCCTATTACTTTTACACAACCCCT